GTCGACCACCAGCAGCGAGAGCGGCCCTGACAGATCCATTACCGGCATCCGTTGCATGAGTCCCGATCTGCAAGGTCTAGCGCCTTTTCCTCCACTACATATCGGACACGTCCGAACATACTCATCCACGTCTTTCTTCCACCCTGGCCAATAGACATGTTTTCTCACGCGATCGACCGTCTTCGTCTTCCCCATGTGAGCCGCGAAAAAGTCGGCGTGACAGTAGTGCAACACCGTTCTGATGAACTGCACCGGAATCACAGGAACGACGATCGTATTGGCCGGTCCACATATTGCACGTAGGTAGACTTTCCTCATCAAAACACCATTCTTGACCACAAAGTGAGGAGCCATCTTCAGAGTCTGCACACGCAGTTGCGGATCCAAAGCTAGAGCTCCGCTCTCCAAGAACGCCTTCATCGCCAGCATCCACGGCGTTCTGGCCTGTTCCTCAGCGAACTTCTCGCTGTTCAGCTCGAAGACGTCGTCAATGGACGGGCTAACGGCACCGCCCGACTCGTCCTCTTCTTGTTCCTCCTGAGTGGGACTCAAATCCCCGAGGGCCACGTCGGAAGCCACGTTTGCGCCAGCGTTCTGGCCCCCAGACTCCTCATCTTGAGCGTCCTGCTCCCTGACTTCGACGTCAGCACCCGTGCTCTCGACCGTCATAGGGTTCAGTAGGTCTGTCAGGCCCAGTCGACGCTCCCCGACTTGGCCTCGAGCACTCCCGCCACCAGCATCATTCAGTAAGTCCGTCATCCGCAGAGCGTTCACCACCTTTCGCGAACGGAGTCGCGACAGTCCGTCGGCGTGGCCCATGAGAGTTCCTGGCCGATGATGGACTTTAAACCTTAGCTGTGAGAGTTCCATGGCCCACCTGGCCAACTTCGCGTTACTCGTACGCGTGTTCGCACTGAAAATCCACGTGAGAGCTTGATGATCTGTATACAGGTCAAACTCGCCATGATCCAAGTAACAACGAAACTTGCGCGTTGCCCAAACGATGCCCCAACACTCAATTTCCGTCGTTCCGCTCGTCTTGCTAACCCAGTTCCTT